GGGGGGGGGGGGTCTGTACTGAATCACTCCCCTCTTCCTGTCACTTACCATGACACACCACAGACGAGTTCAGCCCCCAAGTAACATGATGATTAGGCAGATTAAGCAAAGGGTTAGGAAGACGAAGATGAGGAAGAGCAAGACGGCTGGGTGAAGGTCACTGAAGCACTAAGCATTCTTTAGCTGACAGACAAAAACCAAACCAACTCCCCCCCGCCCCCCCAACAAACACACACACACAAACAGGGCTGCCTGCTCACTAAACAGTTTATTAGTACATCACACACGCAGCTTCTGTTACGCATCCTGCTAACAGCTAGACTGACGTCACCGAAAACATACAAAAAACAAGGAGCCTAAGAGCTTCTTAAGGCTATTATATAAAAACCAAAGGCTTAAGTCAAAGTATTTCAGTGTTAACAGAAACTGGCAGGAGTGAAGGTTTACGTTCCTACTAGCAGTGAACTAGAATAAGCAAAAGGATTAACTTTGGCTAAAACCCCGCCATTATAATCAATGAAAAACAAAATAAACACGTATAAAGAGAAAACACTGCAAACAATCAAAATAAAAAAGGAAAAAATACAAAAACAAGTAAAACAAGTATTGTGATTTCTGAATCGTAATAAACATTTCTTACAAGTAATTTTATTTTTAGTTAACTAAAGCAGTACACGAATTTAGGAACTGATGAGAAATACGTCCATTTGCAGGCATCATCGTAAAGGATATAGGTGCAGGTGGCCGATCGCGTTACCCTGCCTTGTTATACAGATTAAACACGGATTTAAAATAGGCCCACAGCTGCCGAGTGTCATTTACGGCTGACGGCGGCCGGAAGTGCGCTGCAGGGAAGCGACCTCGGTTGCCTTTAAATGACAGACGTGAAACGCGGGCCGCGGTTTGCCCTAAACCGGGTTTGTGACGTCATTAAATATACGTTAGTAAATTATTATAAATGTATGGTCAATAAATGCCAGTGACACAGTACAGGATAGGTGGATGGAACACTTATGGACGGATAGTGAACGTATCGACCTACCTCAGTATTTAATACCATTTTCGAGTTTGACTTTAGAACTTTGTAAACTGCATAAGTAACGCCATTCGATATCAAGACTGCCAACTGGAAATATACTCATTACCAAGCCGTGACGTTAAACACTGATATACTATATAAGTGGCCCGTATTAGTGTCCATAAGATTGTGGAAAATGGCCACACTTTTAGCAATTTCCAATGTATGACAATAATTAGACGCGCATTACGCATAGAGGGATAGATACTGCCGATTTATCATTTACGGTATATATATTTACGGAACTTAAAACATAACGATTTTTAAAAATCACATTAACAACATGTGAATACTGGTATCTATACTATAGTGTCAAAGAAAACCGAAGTCTTTCCCCCTCAACGCTATAAATATTAATTATGCGCTTCAGTGCCCCGAAGGCGAATGTGTAACAGCCTGCAGCACACCGTGCAAACGGCGTCACTGCAGGCAGCTTATAAGGCAGCGAGAGAAAAAAAGTTTTGTGCAACCTTGCGGTGCTTTCGCCCCACCTTCCGGGCGAAGGTATGCCGGCGCTCGCCAATCCTCAGCCGGGACAGGGCAGGCTGCAAGCGCTTTCGTTTCGTCTGCGGCTAGAGCCGGCCCTCCTCTTTCCGACGTAAATCGCACGGCTTCCCACTCGCCCATAAAGCCTTATTGTTTTGGGTCCGGACGACAAAATTACCGCGATCTCGTTGGCAAACTGGACAGGCTGAAGTGCGGGGAGGCGCACGCACGGCGGGCGCATTTGGGAAGGGACAGCGGAAAGTTTGCAGGGCGCGCACCATGATGTCTGGGGGGGCTCCGACTCCTGCTCCGTCCCGCGGATGAACTGGGATCCTCCCGCACAGCACTGTACTTCGCGCTTGTCGCCTAAACTGGTAAGTCTTAAAGAACTACGTGATATTTCAATTTTCAGTACGGTTTGTCTGTACTAGCTATGTAATAGTTTATGTAGCCTAATAGTTTAATAGTTTGTGAGCGTCTTAAATACATTCTTGATCTAATTTTTTTCCAATGGGAAAAAACGCAGACCTGTCGGAGTGTATAAAATGTTCCCGATTTACTGTGTTCTACTTTGTCTGTTAATAAAGTATTATATATAGGATGTAGTATTATTATAACCCGGCTCCGACAACGCTAGATTCGTCAGACAGGTAAATCCATCACGTTAAAATTAATGCTAAATATAACCCAGAAATACCGCCACAACAAATTTTAGACACTGGCTGTCCTCCGTGCGCGTAGGTCCGGCAGCCCTTGGCACTTTCAGGCGGGTTTCGGTACAGTCCAATCCGAGATGACACGCACGATAAGGTGATGACGGGCCCCCGATGGCTCTTACCCGCGTGCGTGTGCGGGCTGGCGCGCCCCCACCGAACCAGCCCGACCGGCGTGACAACACGGCGCACTGCGTGTCACACTTTTGCAATACCGACATCGTTGTAAAATAGGTCTGTTTACAACCTGCATGCTTCATGGCCCCCGGCAAAACATCCGTATCACCTACCAGCTGAATTAGGCAACGGCGTGTATAAATAGATAGGTAGATATTGCTTCTTGGTGTGTGTGTGTGTGTGTG